TCAGGTTTTTGTGGTTGTTGTTCAATTACAAGCAATGTTGCTAATGCATTTCTCATACACCTGTCAGCTAATACACAGTAAGAGTTTTTCCATATGCCTAGGAGGGCAATGCCAAGTCATATATTATATATGTGTTCACCTTTATTAGGTAATGTAAAACTGGTTTCCAAAGTGGCTGTAGCAACTTACATTCCTGCCAGCAGAGCATGAGCCTTTCCATTGCTCCACGTCCTCACCAACACTTGATATCATCAAATTTTTCAATTGTAGCCATCATATATTAGTATATCATTACAGTTTCCTTAGGATTTTCCTGGTTACCAATGAGATTGAGTATCTTTCATCCATGTGTTGACAACCAGAATTTCTTTTATGAATGCCTATTCAAGTATTTTATCCAGTTTTCTATTGAGTCATTGGTCTTTTTCTTATTGATTCAAAGCCATTCTTTATATAATCTGAATACTAACCCTTTGTTGTTTATATGTCTAACAAATATCTTTTCCTAGTTTGTAGCTTGTGGTTTCATTCTCTTTGTAGTGTCTTTTGATCAACATTAAAGATTGTCACATTTAACAATCTTTTCCTTTATTGTTTTTACATTTTATGTCTTGGGAATTTCTTTCTATGAAATAAAAATACTCTCCCTCCTTTAGAGTTGTCTTAGTCTATTGCTGCTGTTATAACAAAACACCTTAGGCTGGGTAATTTATAAACAACCAGTTGTTATTTATGACAATTCTAGAGGCTGGGAAGTCCAAGATCAAGGCACGGGCAAGTTCACTATCTGGTGAGGGCTGCTCCTTCTGCTTCTACGATGGTATCTTCTTACTGCATCCTCACTTGGCAGAAGAGGCAAAGGAATGGAAGGGACAAACTTGTCCTCTCAGCCCTTTTACGGTGGCACTAATCCCATCTATGAGGGTGGAGTGTGCATGACCTAATCACCTCCTAGTGGCTCCACCTTTTAATATTGTTGAACTGGGAATTAAGTTTCCACATGAATTTTGGAGGAACACAAACACTCAAACCATAGCAAAAGTTTCTCTATTCTATTTTTGTTTTTTACATTTAGGTTCAAATTCAACTGAATTTGTTTTTGTATTTGGTGTAACACAGGGAGTCCGGTTTCATCTTTTCCATAGAGAAAACCAATTGATCCCAGACCATTTACTAAAAAGTGATTTTTTCCTCCCACATTGATCTGAAATACCACCTTTGATATTTAGCAGATATCCGTATTACATGTCTGGGCTTTTTGTTCTCTTCCATTCATCTATCTATCCTCATGCCAGTACTATACTGTCTTAATTCCTGTGTCTTTACAAGTCTTGATATCTGATAGGGCCAGTGTTCCCACCTTTTCCTCGGTTATTCAGGACCCATTGTTCTTCTGTATATAGTTTGCATAGTTGTATATTCCACTTGAGAGGTTCCACCAAAAAATTAAGTATTTTGAGAGGAATTGCACATCTATTTTAGGATAATTTACATCTTTAGTATATTGAAGCCTCCAATTCAAAAGCCTGGCATATCTTTCCATTAATTTGGATCTTTCAAAATATTTTAAATAAAGTTTTAGTTTTTTCCATAAAGACCTTATACATTTATTAGATTTATTCTTTAGATAGTCTGTATTTTTGAGATTATTATAAATTCTATCTTTTAAATATCATTTTCTTACCATTTGTTACTTTGGATAGAAAGGCAATTGATTTTTACATATTGATTTATATACAGCCAACTTGCTATATCCTCTAACTTTAATGATTTATATATTGATTATTTTGAATTTTCTATGTAGTCAATTATATCATTTCTCAATAAGAGCAAAACAATTTTATTTCTTAATTTTATATTTCATTTTTCTTTTTCTTGCCTTACCCTACTGTGAGCTCTTCTAATATAGAATTAAGTAAGGGTGTTCTTGTTTCTGATCTTAAAAAGAACACTTTCAATATTTCTTCATTAGTATTTCTACATTTACTGAGATGATGTATAGTTTTTCATTTATTTGTTATTGTAGTAAATTATATTCATTAGTTACTAATATGAAGGTACTCCTGCATCCCTAGGATGAAACTATCTTAGTCATGATGGATGGTTATTTTTACACATTTCTGAATTTTGTTTGATAATGTTTTATTAAGATTTTTGGATTTTTGTTTGTGAATGAGATTGGCCTGTAATTTTCCTTTTGTACTGTCATTGTCAGGTTTTCATATCAAAATTATGTAAGCCTCCTTGACAAAGAAAAGTTGAGGGTCAAGGTAGTCCCTCTTTTTTCATATAGTGGAATAGTTTGTGTAAGGAAGGATATAGGAATATTCGGGTTTTTATTTCTCTTTGTTTCAATTTAGGTAAGTTAAAATTCTATAGAAAATGCTCCATCTAAATTTTTTAATATTTAGCATGATTTTTAATGATATTTTATTATCTTTTAAATTTCTTGTGCATGTAAATTATGACCCCAAATTTTTTATTTTTTTGTACATTTTTTTCTTTGAAAACTCTTGCCATAAAGTTGTTAGAGCTTCCAATCATTTGAAAGAAACTTTGTTTAGCTTTTTTGATCTACACTCTTATATGTTTATATTCTATTTCATTATTTCTGGTCTTATTTTTATGATTTTCTTTCTTCTAGTTCTTTGGATTTATTTTACTGATCTTTTTCTGATTTCTTAAATTATTTACTTATTAAATTTCAATTTTTCTTTTTTTAAACATTGTTAAAATTTCACTCTAAGTAATGCTTATGCATCTCTACACATTTTTGTGTATGACATTTTATTAATATTTAATTGCAAATATTTTGTCATTTTACATTTGAATTTCCTCCTATCCCATAAATTATTTGTGGGATTCTTGATTTACAAAGATATAGGGATTTTCTGGTTATCTTTTTGTTACTAACTTTCAACACAATTACACTGAAGTCAGAAAATATTTTATGTATGGTATCAATTTGTCAAAATCTTTGAGACTGATTTTTGGTCCAGTATATTGTCAGTCTTTATAAATGCTCCATAGTTGGCCAAAAACAATGAACACTGGTGTTTCAAGCTGCTAGGCATAGTGCTCCATATATGTGTGTGATATGAAGCTTGCCGATTGTGCTAGATAAATCTTCTATATCATTATTTTTACTACTTGATCTATCAGTTACTGTCAAAGATATGTTAAAAATCTTCCACTATTGTAGACTTATTACATTCTCCTTGTAAATATTGTTACATATTTTCAATCTGTGTTATTGGGTACAAATTACCTTAAACTTTTTATATGCATATTAATGTGAGAAATATAGTTAATTACAGAGGCTCAAATTTAGACTACAGGTTATTTTGGTTCAGTGATTCTGATTTTTATATTTTGTAAAACATTTAATAAACCTCACTTGAGACAACAAGAATTTTTTAAAATCACACTTAGCAATTCAGAGTTAAAAATATTGGTGTCTCTTGACCTTGTTAACCCATTTCTGGGATACTGTCCAAAATAACCAGAAGTAGATAAAAAGCTTTATGTACCAAAATACATATTTGTACTGGCAAATAAAATAAAATTAAATGTCGGTTCTAACAATAGGAGAGTGGTTAAATAACTGGACATAGCTACGTGATAATGTATTATACATCCATTAGAGTCATTTATAAAGAATTTATAATAAAACTGGAAAGTTATTATGTCACAATGATGCATAAATCTGACTACAGTTGGTCCCTCTTACCCATGGGGGATATGTTCTGAGACTCCCCAGTGGATGCCTGAAACTGCAGATAATACCAACCTCTACATATATGAATTTTTCCTACACATACATACCTATGATAAAAGTTTAATTTATAAATTTAGCATAGTAAGAGATTAACTACAATAATTAATAATAAAATAGAACAATTATAACAATGTGCCAGAATCATCACTCTTGTGCTTTGGGGCCACTATTAAGCAAAATAAGGGTTCTTTGAACACCAGCATTGTGGTACTGCAACAGTGGCTCTAATAACCTAGTCAGCCACTAAGCAACTCGCGGGCAGGTGACATATACAGCGTGGATATGCTAGATAGAGGGATGACTGTGGTGTGAGATTTCATCATGCTACTCAGAACCATGTGCAATTGATACCTTATGAATGATTTATTTCTGGAATTTTCCACTTAATATTTTCAGACCAAAGTTGTGCATAACTGAAACCACAGAAAGCAAACTGCAGATAAGAGGGGACTACTGTATACTGTATGATTTCAATTACCTTAATGATAACTGTAGAAAAAAATTCTAGGAAGAAGTATCTCAAAAGCATTGTAACATTAATTGATGTAACATTGGGGGAAAAATGGTTTTTCCCGCTTCCTTTCTATTTTTCTGTGTTTTCTGCATTTTCTACCATATTCAAATTTCTTTTACAATATAGGAGGAAAGCCTTAAAAGCATGAACTAAGAAATGCTTATTTAATTAATACTTGAGTGTACACAATTAGTCTTTCATTCTATATTATGTTGGTTTTGGCTGATATATATATATATAATATGTGTGTGTATATATAGATATAATGTGTGTGTGTATATATTATATATATATATACACATTTTTTTTGAGACAGAGTCTTGCTCTGTTGCCCAGGCTGGAGTACAGTAGCATGATCTCAGCTCACTGCAACCTCTACCTCCCAGGTTCAAGGGATTCTCCTGCTGCAGCCACCCGAGTAGCTGGGATTACAGATGCCCACATTGCGCCTGGCTCATTTTTGTACGTTAATAGAGATGGGGTTGCGCTGTGTTGGGCAGACTGGTCTTTATCTCCTGACCTCAGGTGATCCACCCGCCTCAGCCTCACAAAGTGCTGGGATTACAGGCATGAGCCACCGCGCCTGGCCTTAGCTGGTATTTTTTAAATATCAAGATAGAAAAGTCATTTAAAATGTGTGATATGGATATGTACAAAGTAAAAGTTAATGTTTAAAATAAATGTCTTCCTGTACTCTGCTGCCCGTAGGTAAAGTGTTGAGAGAGGAGAACCAGCGCATTGCTCCTGTGGTTTCCAGCCGCGTGAGTCCAAGGTTAGGACCGACAGCTATGGGGTCCTTCAGCTCACACATGACCGAGTTTCCACGAAAACGCAAAGCAAGTGATTCAGACCCATCCCAGTAAGTGAATTTGTTCCTCTAACCCAGTGAGAGCTTTGACTCTAGGGAGAAGAGGAAAATATTCCTTTTAAAATCTTTAATTTTAATTCCAAGTTCATGGTAACATTTGGAGACAGGAGAGTACTTATCTACCCAACTGCTACCTTTGTCAATGACTGACTTGGAACTTTTCCATCCAGCTCTGAAGAAAGGTATCTAGGAGGGTCAGCTGGAGTCTGAAAGAGACATAGGAACATGAGTTTTATTTGGTTAATGTTTATGGTCATGGCAAGATACTTGCCTTCCTTACTGAAATCCTTATAAACATGAGGAGAACACCTTGGATGTTTGACTTAAAATAATAATGACTACTTCTCACCTTACTCATCATGTATAGAATAACCAACCCTTGGTTATCTGTGGTCAGTTTAATCATATAAAACTCGTGCTTTCCATATTTATTAAGTCAAATTGATAATAAAGTCAATGTTAAGAATACCCACTGTCTCCTTATTTATTTTTGTTACCCCTGCAGCTTCAGTCCTAAATATTCTTTAATGACTTCCCCAGAGCTGGAGTTTATATGGTGAAAACATCAGGGCAAGCCAGGTACAGTGGCACACGCCTGCAGTACTAGCTACGTGGGAGGCTGAGGTAGGTTCATTTGAGCCCAGATGTTTGAGACCAGCAAGACCCCATCTCTAAATAAATAGGTATAAAATTTAGAAAACATTAAGGAAAAATAAAGATAGCCGTCTAGAGCAACTCATCATAGGCTGGTACTTTACATAAATGTGAGAATTGATGACAGTTCTCCATCATGAATGAAGGGAAAAATCCTGAGTTGGGAGTTGGAGGTCAAGATAAGGACATAATAAAACATCCTGGCTCTTTTTTGTTGTTGTTGTTGGGGGATGATATTCAGCTCTTCACTTACAAAGTGGGCACATGCTAGCTCTTTTTAACTCAGTTCTTCCCAATTCACTTTATAATTTAGCTTCAGTTCCCAGGACAGTAGAGTAAATACTAAAGCACTTCCCACGCCACATATAAAGGATTGGAAGGTTTTCTACTGTTTTTGGTTGTCTCTATTCCCTTAGTCTCTTCCATTAACATGGATGCTTCTGAAAACTATAGTTGATGAAGTGACAGTCTTTAGACTCTCTAGCTGTTTTCCATCCTAAATTATCAGTCAATAGCCCCCACTTAACTTGAGCTAAAAGTGACTGTTAGTTCTTTTTATTTGCTTCCTTATTCAGAATCATAAGCACCACTGTTCTTTCTCAGTGTCTAAATATGATTTCAGCAATTGAAGTGGGAACAGTGAATATAGGGGTAGCCCAGCTTTGTGCTACATGGCGGGGCACAGATGAGACCTTGCAGTGGTTTGGGGGTGAAATGGAAAGTGGGGTCAGTGCTAGCAAAAATATAAGAAACATGCAAAGTACTGACAGACCAACATTTTTTTTTTGTCAGCAAGCAACACTGAAGATTATTTAGGTAACTACTCACATTTTAGAAGAGGAAGAAGCTAGAACTCAGAAATGTCAAGCAGTTTGCCCAGCATCACACAGCTTGTTAGAATGCCTGATTCCAGATGTGGTATTTTCTCCACTTCACCCAGCTTCCTGTCACTGGGTAGCTGGACAGAGTGGGCTGCTTTCTCCACTTGAGGACAGGCTTGCTGTCCATTCCCAGAACATCTGGGTAGGGGGTGACCCAAGGCCTCCTTCCTTCCAGGTCAGGAATCATGACAGAAAAAGTGGTGGAAAAGATTTCTGAGAATCCCCTTACCTATCTTCTTTCAACAAGGATAGAAATATCAGCCTCCAGTGGCAGCAGGTAAGTCCTGGACCATTTTTGACATACTCCCTCCCCTACTTGAAGAGGGCATAGAGTGGCAGTGAAAACGTAATACATGTCCCACTGATTTGCTCATCATCTATCCCAGAGCTTCTCCTTTCTGCCCCAATCCTTCCTTTATCCTACCAGTTTCTGTTCCCTTTAATGAAATAATGGATGTCAAAGTACGTGGTGCTGACTATATAGTGTCCTTCCCCAGGATTCAGTGCAGCAAAGCCAGTCAATAGGTGAGGCTGATTTCACTCACGTAGCCTCAGAGTGCTGGATATTTTTAAAAACGAAGAATATGTGAGAATGTCCACCCTTTCTGTGGCACTGTTAGTTTTGAATGGAGAGCTGGGG